GGGTGTGTCCAGAAAAACGTTTGTGATCCTGTGGGAGCTGCAGTAAACTGCCGAGCGATTAGCTTCAGTCCTTGAGCGCCTTTTCAAATGCAAACACACATACCCCAGGGCGAGGAAGCTGCTGCCCAGGAGCAATTTCGACCGTGACCACATTTCAGGTGGCCCAGGACCATCAAATACTTTCCCCCATTGCTATTATTGGGGAATGCTGATGCTGATAAACTGCTCTCAAAGGCAAATGCAAGGCTGATGTACCCTCAGGAAGGACAAAGATTCCCTGCTCTTAGGAGATGTGCACTGACAGCGACAGGGACAGGATTTGGGGAACAGGACTGTATGGAGCAAAGCATTCATCTCTACCTTTTTCTGTCATTAGCAAAAGCCAGCAGAGATTAATCAGATTTTTTACGTAAGAAAAGGCATGGCCCAGGGTCTAACCAGACAAAAGCAGCCAGGCAGAGAGCAGAGTGGGTTGGGCACAGGCTATCTGGGGATCTCACCAGAACAAAGCCAATTTTCCAGTCATTCTTGTCCACGGAGGGACTGTTCTCTGGCAGGTTGACTAAATTATCCCGTTTGTGCCTCCGCAGGGGATGGCGCTGGACRTGGTGGAGCAGGCTCCTGGAGCTGCGCCTCTGTGAGGACACAGGGGACCAGTCGCTCCGTGGCAGGGACATGTTGTAGTCATAGAGGTCCAGCAGGGTCTGGTGCGTGATTTGGTCCAGCCTGTCCAGCTGCTTTCGGATGGCGCTGTACCTGTGCGGGAGGGAGAGGAGAGCAGCAGGTTTAGGGCTGGATGCGCACAAACAGCTCGGAAAAAGACGCGCAGCAAAGTTTGCTGTAAATATAACCCCTTGCTGGAGGTTATCTCGCAGGAAAGAAGTGAATCTGCTCCAGCCCTGTGGCAGTTTACATGGCAGCCTGCTAACAAACACCACCGAGCAGAGCTGCCTGAACTCTCATCCTTCCTGAGCGTGCCCTGCAGCAGCCAAGAGCCGGCAAAAGCGTCCTTTCCACCGGCACCGCYACAACCACGAGCGGAACAAAAGCACGAGCCTTTATCCTGCACCCATCCCAGCCAAGGCAGTCCCATCCCTGCGAGTCCATCCCTTACCTGTAGGGATTGAGGGTGCACAGCGTCACGGCCGGGAAAGTCAGCCTGTCGGAGTTSAGGTTGAGGTTCAGGTTGACGGGGTAGCTGAAGTACTCCCTGTAGAGGATCCCAAACTGCCAGTACATCAAGCCGAAGGTGAGAAAGAAGAGAACGGACCAGAAGGCTGTCTTCATCTTATTCTTTTTGGAGCACACCAGGCGAATAGCCCCATGGATGGTCGTGTTGCTGCAGAAGAACTGGAATAGCTCCTGGTAAGAACTGTAGAACTCGATGAGACCCTCCCGCTCCTCTTCTTTCTGCTGCTGTTCCTCTTCTTGCTTACACTGACTCATTTTGTCCCCTTCTGGCATCTTCCCTGCCTTCCCAGAGCCGCCCTAGAGCACAAACCCAGCATTAGTGTGTCTCCCTGCGAGGCTGCGGCTCCGAGGAGCCATGCCCGCCGCACAAACTGGCTCTGCAGCACCCTCTCCCCGAGCTCCGCCGCTTCCACCCGGCTTCCCCAAGCCTTCCCCCAGCCCGGCTGCAGGTCCTGCTCCGGCTCCTCCCGTCCCACATGTGACACGGGCTGGATCCTCCCCCGAACGCCCCCGGCCCTGTCCCGGTGTCCCTGTCCCGGTGTCCCTGTCCCGGTGTCCCCGGCCCGTCCCGCGGCACTGACGGGGGGCGCGGTGCCCATGGCGGGGCTCTGGGGCCGGAGCGGGGCCGGGCTGGGGCCGGTGAGCTCTGCCCGGCTCTGGGGGCTCTCTGCAGCCTCCCCGGCTGGGCTGGCAGCGGGGCCGGGCTGGGGCCGGTGTGTTCTGCCCGGCTCTGCCGGCTCTCGCAGCCTCCCTGGCCGGGCTGGGACCGGTGAGCTCTGCCCGGCTCTGCCGGCTCTCGCAGCCTCCCCGGCCGGGCTGGGACCGGTTCCTTTCCAGTTGGAGCCAGCACCCCGCCCGGCTCCTGCCCTGCCAGCTCTCCCCGCCCCTCCGGCCTGTCCCTGCAGCCTGTCCCTGTCCCTGCAGCCTGTCCCTGCAGCCTGTCCCTCCTGTCTGAACCTCCTGTCTGTCCCTGTCCCTCCAGCCTGTCCCAGTCCCTCCAGCCTGTCCCTGTCCCTGTCCCTGTCCTTGTCCCTGTCCCTCCAGCCTGTCCCTGTCCCTCCTGCCTGTCCCTGTCCCTCCAGCCTGTCCCTGTCCCTGTCCCTGTCCCTGTCCCTGTCCCTATCCCTGTCCCTGTCCCTGTCCCTGTCCCTGTCCCTCCAGCCTGTCCCTCCTGCCTGTCCCCTCCTGCCCCGTCCCCTTTCCCCGGGCGCCGCTCCCGTTGAAGAAAAGCCTCTTGAATCTCTCGAGTGTCGGCTCTCCGGTCCCGGTACCCTCGGGCGGTGTCGCGGGGTCACGGCGCGGCCGCTGCGGGGACAGCAGAGCCCCCCCGGCCCCCGAGAGAGCCCGGCCCCGGCCAGGTACGGTGCCGAGCAGCCTGAACCTCCTCCTCCCACCGCCTCCGGCGGGCACGCCGCGTCCCAGCAAGCCCAGGCGGTGCAGAGAGAGAGTTGGCAGCGCTGGGGCAGCGCCGGGGAACCTTCCCTGCTCTGTCCCCCTGACCTTGCCCCAACACCGACCCGCGGTGAGAGCTCCTGCCCGGGTTTCATTGCCAAACTGTGCTTTCCAGGGGCAAAGTGGCGATTTTGGGTGAGATTTGAGAGAGGGATGGAGCTGGGACAGAGAAGGCTGGGGGGCGATCAGTGATACCCATCAGTGATAACATCAGTGATACCCATCAGTGATAACATCAGTGATAACATCAGTGATAACATCAGTGATAACATCAGTGATAACATCAGTGATAACATCAGTGATACACATCAATTACCGCATCACCTTTGCTGGTGCCTAAAATACAGAAATCTTCTGTGTCCATAACTGCCGGGCCCAGCCATCAGTGGGAATTTGTTTGGCTGATCTGTGCCTGGGAAATCAAAACCTCCCGACATTACCCAAAGCCTTCCAGCGTTTCCTTGGACCACGGAAATGARCACCTTAGCAAAATGTGACCAAAAGCCCCAAACAGGTTCATTATAACCGTGAAATTTCTTTACCAGTYTTTTCTCCCAGTGATTTTCTTTCAAACTAGCTCTGTCTGACGTTTTCTTTCCTTTTTGGTTGCCTCCTTCAGTTAAGTCCTTGTTCAGAGTCTTGGGTCACTGAATTTTGATCCTTCTTGAGTTAGCTGTGGTTTGGTTAGTGACTCAAAATATGCAGCCACTTTCACCTCTTCATATTGCAAAATCCCGTGCTTGAAAATGGCAAGCAGTACCCTTTTGAGGGCAGCAGTAAAGGGGAAGGAACAGCCTTGTGACAAAACTACAGCCACAACTGAGAGCATTCCGCGAGCTCCTTCCCCCCAGAAAAAGCAGTGCAAAGCAAAACCATATTTTCTTGTCCAGTTCTAAAATTAATTCCATCTCCAGTAAATTATTTTTTGAACGTTCAAAGGTGAAAATTGCAAAAAGTGGGTGAGATGAGGTGGATGAGCTAATACTGTATAAAATTTTTATTGAAAAGCAGCTTCCTCAGAGCATTCCTGGCTGCACTTGTGGGGCTCCCAGCTCAGGAGGGACATGGTCCTGKTGGATGGAGTCCAGAGGAAATCACAAAGATGATCAGAGGGCAGAAAGGACAGAGTTGGGGGTGCTCAGATTGAAGAAATGAGGCCCATCTGGAAATCTTCTGCAGCCTCCCAGTATCCAACAGGGATAGGAAGGGACTGTGGATCATTGATGTGGTGATAGGACAAAGGGGGATGGTTTCAAACCAAAACAGGGTAGATTTAGATTAGACTGGAAGGAAAAAAATTTCACTGTGAGGGTGTGAGACACGAGAATATATTCACAAGGAAACTGTAAATGCCACATCCCTGGAAATGTTCAAGGCCAGGCTGGACGGGGCTTTGAGCACCCTGGGATAGTGGAAGGTGTGATTTAATCCAGTGGAACTGGATGGGATTTAATGTCCCTTCCAATCTGAGCCATTCTCTGATCAGAAATATCCTGGGACAGTCTGTGCAGCTCTGGATCCCATCTTGGGCAGTGCCAGTAGGAAATGTCATTTACTGGAGGAATTTAGGGAGCTTTTCTCACTCRGATAGACCTGGAGACTGAAAATTCAGCAGCATTCCACAGTGGAATTGTGGAGTTCTGATTCCAGTCACTTCACAGAGCAACTTGTTAGATTTACATTATCATAATTCCCTGAAATTGCTGTTACATTGATGGACTGATCCTCCAGTACCACCTCTCCCTTAATGGGATTGTGGCTCTGTTTTACGGAATAACAAAAACTACTTCGCCCCTGAAAATGCCCCTTTTTTACTCATTGAAGTTAACACTGAGAACKACAGGAAAATTTGGTAACCTGTAGGTATTCTCTGATTTCCACAGTATGAAATAGGATTTTAAATTGTTTTAAATTGCTTCAGATACATGGTCCTCTCTGTTGTGAGACAAAGGCAACTCACATTTTTTGATTTCTTTTGACTTTCTTTCATTTTGATTTCTTTTGATTTGAGGAATAACTAAAACCTCAAACATCTGGACTGATTTGCTGTATCCAAATGACAGTCTAGAGCAATTTTCTCAGTATTTTGTCATGGCTGATGATTTCTGTCATATTTTTGGGAGAACTTTTGGCCCTTTGACAAAGTTTGAACGAGAACAGCAGATAATGCCAATACAATATATCTGTGTGTCTCTATGTACACATCTAAATGCATATTTATTTTTTTCAGAAGACTTTTCCCATGTGCTGTTTGGAGTTTGTTTAAGAGTACAAAGCTGTTTTCTGGTCCTTTGACCATTTCCAGCAGCTGTGACAGYCGTGCTCTGAGCAATTCCCCTTTCCCTCTTTCTCCCCACAGTGAGCTGCTGGTGCTGTTGTGTGTTTTCTGTTTCTGTGGCACATCTGGGGACACCAATCAGCCCTGAGGTGACTTCCAGTGTCTCCAGTCACACAAATATTGTGCTTTGGCTGTGGCTCTGTGGAAGTCCCCATGGTCACACAAGTGTGCTGCAGATCCATTGCCAATGCACAAAGAGACAAAAAAATTATTTTTAACATTGCTATAAACAAAATTTCCCCCTWTTTCCCAACTACTTTAGAAACAATGCAAAACAAGTCTCCAGCTCAGCTGCCAGTCTCAATCTCCATTAGAAGAAAATCAGAATTTGCTAGCTTTTTGTGGTTGTTTTTTTTTTTTTAATTATTACTTACATCTTCCCAGTTTTTGTGTTGTTCTTTTTTCTCAGTGTGTGCATGAAGTAGATCACTAAAGTGACCAAAATTGTYACTCATGAGTGGCACCATTTCCCTCAGGACACTGCACTCTAACAGAAGATGGTGTGGGAAGTTGATCAGTGCACTTTGCAAAAACAGCTCCCGTTGATCATTTCGGTGATCAGGTTCACTCCTRTCTCAAGCTTTCCTCACACAAGAGTCTCCTGAGCTTTTTCCCATCCAGAAGTGTCTGATGTTTGCATCCTGTGAGGAACTGACCTCTCCAGGTGACTCACACCTGATGGAACAGGTTTTGGCACCCGTGGTTATTACCGTCACAGGCTCAGCAATTATGGAATCATTTGTCTTCTGAAATCCCAAGTTTTGCAATAGAAGGAAAAGATCTTCCAYCAGACACTACAAATCCTCTTTGGAAGTTCTGGTTTGTCGTAATTTACTCCACCTCTCACGATGTTTTCAATCCAAGGAGCTTTCTCCTCTTGTGAAATGGGAAGTGCCCTGTTTTTCTGGGCAGTGCTTCTGGATTTAACATCTTCACCAGCTCTGAATGCATGATTGCTTTTTATTGCTACTGAACAACCTTTGAGTAAACATGAATCACTCTTTATGGCACCAAATTYGAAATGTTTCCTTACCAGCTACGTCTATTATCTGCCCGGCTAGGAATTTGATAATGATCTGTAGTACACACAACTTTTTAAAATAGAACAAACTTCTTTTCTACACGCTGCTACTGTTGAGGAAAAAAAAAAAAACCAACAAAAAAATCACCAAAATCTCTGCCTTTGTCTCATATGGATCCCAAGTGTAACAAATTCACATTTTTCAACTACACAGAAGATCTTCCATCAGTTTAATTCTTTTGTGTATCTGTAAATGGAATTGTACTTTCCTTCAAATGCAATTGTACTTTCCTTCAAATGCAATTGTGCATTCCTTCAAATGCAGTTGTACTTTCTTTCAGCTGCAAGGCAGAAGCCAGTGATTATTTTAGGATTATTTTAGGATTATTTCTGGATTACCTACAGCTGCCTGTATTTTTTCTGCATTAAAAGTCGTGACCCATAGAGTGAAGGAATGGCTCTGTGGGTGTTGCTGGAAGTTTTTTTGGTCAAATGCAGGAGGTGGTGTCTGTCCCAAAGCACCCAGAGCACACCATGTCCATACCTGCATCATTTGTGTCCCCAGGAGGTGATTCTCAATCCATATTCTCATTTTTACCTTGCAGGAGCAGTGTGGCTGCACAGAGCTATTCTGGCCAAGAAAAAGGGAGTTCTGGGGGAAAATCAATGCTGTGTGTGTTATCTGTACCTTCCAGCATGAGAGATGGGAGAATCCTGGGGAAAATCATGAAAATAAAATATTGTAGGGCTGAGAAAGTCCTGCTGGAGACTGC